CAAAACTATCATAATCACTAATAAGATTATTACCAGTTGTTGATTCAGATAAGAAGTCATCCTTAATTATGTTTATAATGGCATATATAGAGCTAAAAAAATAAATAAAGACATGCTCAAAAATATAAAGATATTGTACAAATGATATACTAGCATCATTAAGCAAATATGGGATGAATAGCTTCGTCAAATTATCCGCACAGTTGGCTGTTTTTTCAGCCCATATTTTAATAATATTAAAAAAATCATTGACAAAAACCTGAAGTGATATAAAGTTTAGTTGAACTTGGTAATAAAAACATAAGCAGCAAACATAAATTTATAAGGAATGATAGTAGACTTTATTGAGATATTTTAGAAATAATTAAAACACTAATCTCGTCATGTCAAAGAAAAAAATACTACTTGGCAAGTGTTTCAACTTGAGCACTATGTTTTTTTGGCAATTTTTTTCAAACTAATCAAACTTTGATAATATGCAGATGAATAGTGGAAGACATTTGAATCTAGTGCTCTAAATTTACAAAAATTGATCATTCGATTTCTGTCAAATTTTATTCATCTGAATGCGAAAGAAATTATTGTATTTTTTAATACATTTCTAAAAAAAGATAATCATTTAGAGCCTATAAGGCTAAGTGCCCTAGTGTCTGCTAAATACAATCTTAATTTGAAAAATATATATGTTCTTATATAAATTTTTTAATTTATTAATATGCTTTTCTAACTATAAAAATAATTTATAATCCAAATAATTCTTACTTTATAGATTACAACTTAAAAAGAAATTATGATATGCTAGAGTACAAAAGCATTAAAACTGTAGAACTTTAGATAGCTGATTGTGATTATTTAGGGAGTGAAATCTCAAGAGACTTTATCATTCCCTTTTTGAATAACAGATAGGCAAACAAGCAATAAGTTTTGAATTATAATTAAATTGAAAATTATGTTTACCTTTATCTAGTCATTTATTATGAGCAGTTGATTTTTATGATTTAAAATGGGACAAACCTCCCTCTTATTCAATAAAATGTTCACCATAATGGTGCATATCAGATTTGTCCTCGTGTGCCTCTTATTTTCTTTAAGATATCGCTTTCAAATTTTTTAACATTTGACAACATATATCAAATAAAACTTTATTGCAAGATGCAATACTTCTATTAGCCCTAGCAAGATGCTTTTTCATCATATTTATGCATCCATCTTTGTGTGTCAATCCACAATACAAACACTTAAACTGTTTTTTCCATCAAGAGTATTATTTTAATAAAATAATTCCATATTGAATCTGTCTATTCACGAATATTATAGGAAGAAATAAAGGGCTAGCATTTAAAGAGCTCCATACTAAGAAAAACAAAGAAAAAAATTGCAAAATTTATATACAAATAAATTTATTTCAAAGATCATGCATATCTCTCTAAAAGTATATTTTATGATCAGACAAACAATATGATCACGCAATCTACTGAAACAAAAAATCTAATACAATTGATCAGTGAAAGACTTACATTTTCTTTTACACTTGCGCTCATTTGTGCTTGAATAGAGCATTCCATAAGATCTCTAATCACTTGATTTAGTGATAAAGCCAGTGATCACTAACCAACTAAACATCAAATTGTGTAATGAAAATACAAAATGCAGATCACATCAATAACGGCAAAACATCAAATGGAATAGAGAATGATGTAATGATTTCTACAAAATAACACATACAAATTTTTAGAATAAAATCAATATAAGCAAAAAAAAATAAAAGTGATTAAAAAGATTAACAAAAAGATTATCATTCAATTTAGCAATCGTTAAATTCCCACACTCAATAATAAAAAATTCAATCCAGTAAAGTATCAACTCTACAATACTGCAAAAAAATAAAAAAAACGATCAAATGACCTACACCAAATATTATTTGAACACAAAAAAAATCATCAATTAAAAAACCCAAGTCGCATAAGCACAAGTTTATCTATATCATCATACTTCTTTTAATAAAATTTTTAGCTCATGAGCAACATTCAATATAATAGGACTATAATAGAGATTATATTTCCTTCTAATTTGGCTATGTCACTCAAGCTAAAAAGTAAACTATGAAGTGCATTTTTAAATATTATAGCTTAAGAAAAACTTATCTGGTAAGCAAAAGAACTTAGCCAATAAAAATGCATTCATTAAAGAAGCCCAAAGGATTAATTGAGGCTTCAGCATTATACAACTCCATGGAAGATCAATTGTTCACTAGCAAGCAAGAAATATTCTCATACTTCTATTGTTTCAAACTATTGATTCCTTACAACTATAATTTTTTTTGGGTAGAATAGCAGGTATTAATGATACTATCTAGTATCTATCAATGATAATTCAATAGTAATAATGACTCAAAATTCATTTAAAAAATAATGACTTGATTTCTAAATTCAAAATAAGGGGTAATTAGTTGCTTGTAATTAAGAAAAAGACTATTTTGTTTTCACTTAATTTCAGAGTAAAAATATTACCATAATTTTTAGGAAAGTTTGAGGATTTTTGTAAAGTTAAAGGAATGCCTATTTGTTAAAAGTATTGCTTACAAGTGAATACTAAGAATCCTTGTCATAGATTTAGAAGGGGACACCTAAAAAACACAAATAAAATTATTTTTACAAGTAAGCTTCAAGAATTTAAGATATAGGATGTTCTTGAATAAGCAAATTTTATGTGAGATAAAATAACAAATGCTATGAAACATGTGGCAAAAGATGTACTTGAAGAGTCAAAAGAAAAAGTTTTTATAACTAAAAATAGTTGGTGGTGGAATAATAATGTGCAAGAAAAGATAAAATATAAGAAATTTTATAAAAATTGGTTTAAATATAAAAGCATAGAGAACTGAGAAAAACAGAAGGTGGCCCGTAGGGAGTCCAAGAGAATCACTTATAAAGCTAACAATTCTATTTTTAGTAATGTTTAAAATAGATTAGAAACTGAAAAAGTTGAAAAATATATGTATAAACAAACCAAACAAAGAGAAATAAACAGTAAAGATTTAGCTAAATTCTAATAAATTTTTCAATGAAGCTTTTGAAAATATGATCGACTCGAATGATCTTAATATCATTAATAATAAAAAAATATTTTATTTTTACCGTTGCATTAAAAAAAAAGAAGTTGAGGAGGCTTTAATAAAAATCAAGGGTGAAAAATTAGTAGGACCTAAGGATATCCCAATTCAAGTGTGGAAATATTTAGAGGATTTGGGAATTTCTTGGCTAACTAAACTCTTTAGTATTATTTCAAAAACTAAAAATATGTCTGAGGAGTAGAGGAACAGTATTTTGGTCCCGTTTTTAAGAATAATTGAGATGCACAAGACTACGCAAATTATAAAGGAATTAAGATGATATGTCGTACTATAAAATTATGGGAGAAGGTAATTGAACATAGGTTAAGATGTGTTACAAAGATTTTTCATAATCAGTTTGGATTTATGTTGGGCAAGTCTACTATGAAAGTTATACATTATTAAGAGGTTTGATGAAGAAGTACAGAGAGAATAATGAGGATTTACATATGATTTTTATTGATTTAGAAAAAAACTTATGATAAGGTTCCAAGATAAATCCTTTAGAGAGTTCTAGAGAAGAAAGGTGTTGATATGACTTATATTCAAGACATTAAAGATTTGTATATTAGAGATGTTACTTGTGTTCGAACAGAAGGAAGATTGACCCTATTTCAGTTGGATTACATTAGGGATCGACTTTAAGCCCATATCCTTTAGCTTTAGCTATGGATGCTCTTACTAGACATTTACAGGAAGATGTACCTTAGTGGATATAGTGTATATTTTTTGCTGATGAAATCGTTCTTGTGGATAAGACTAGAAAGAGTTCAGGAAAAACTTAAATTATGGAGGTCTACATTAGAGTATAAAGGTTTTCATTTGAGTAGAAATAAAACTGAATATATGGAATGTAATTTTAGTAGTAGTAGCTCTAGTGGTTATGTTGTAATTATGGGTGGTCAAATCATTAAAAGGTGTGAACGCTTTAGATATATCGGGTCAATTGTTCAAAGTAAAGGTGATATAAATGGGAATGTTATTAGCAGAATTCAAAGTTGGTTGATTGAAGTGGAGGAATGCTTCAGGCCTATTGTGTAATAGAAAAGTACTACTTAGACTAAAGGGAAATTTTATAAGATGGTGGTGAGACTTGCATTGCTTATGTTGCAGAATGTTGGCCTTTAAAAAGAATATTGACCTTTAAAAGAGAAGCATAAAACAAAGTTAAGTGTTGTCGAGATGGAATGCATAGGTGGATGAGTGGCTTGACACTTGGAGACAAAATGTGGAATGAAAATATTTGTTATAGGGTTGGTGTAGCTTCAGTGACGGACAATATTAGAGAGAGTCGTCTTAGATGGTTTGTTCACAATAAATGTCGACCATCTGATGATCTGTTTAGAAGAGTAGATGTTTTAGATTCGACTTATGTTAAGAAAGACAAAGGTAAATATAGAAAGACTTGGGTATATTATATAAAAAATGATCTTAATTTATTAGAATTAAATGAAAATATGACTATCAATAGGACACAATGGAGAAAAAGGATTCATGTAGCCGACCCAGCTTAGTGGGATAAAGGCTTGTTGTGGTTGTTGTTGTTATAGTATTGCTTACAAGTGAATAATCAAAAATAAAATGAATAATTTTACTAGTATTAAAGTAAAAAAAAAAACAGTGAAGGAAGTTTTGATTTATATTCCACACTTTTCTTGTTTCTTAAATAGATCCACTTCATTTGTCAATGTTTGAAAAAATAGTGTTGAGTTTGTCTTCCAAGTTAATGCATCATGTAGTGATGTAAACTGCCCCAATGAACTCAAATCTATTTTCAGTATACTATTTGGACACTTAAATTTTAAGGGTTGTATGTGTTCCTCCATGACAAATCAAATTGCAGTGTGGGTTCTAACAAGTATTTATTGTTGAGTCATCTTATACACACCCTCGCCCCCGGCATAGGAGCCGTTCGAAACCATCACAAGTAGCAGCTGGCTTCTTAGCACTCCTTCAGGTTCAGCACTTCGGCTGCATGAGAGATGGGAATAATCAAAGAATCGACGAGGGAAATAGGAACTCGGGACTTAAGAAAACAATATTATGTATTTTTTGGAGTATAAATACCAATCATACCAAAAAAAAAAAAAAAGGCCACAAAGTGAGGGAAATGACTTACGGTGAGAAGCCGGCGAACAGGCAGCAAATCAACGGCGAGCAGCGTCGAAGTAATCTTGCAGGGAGGCATCCGTACCACGCAAGCAAACTCGCCGAATAGAGACGGAGGCGGGCGATCCGGAGGCTGGGTTTTGCGGTTTTAGGGGGCGGTTTGGTGGCCGATTTTAAGCAGGAGCTTAAATCCTGCCGAACGGCAAAAAATGCCTCCCTAAATCCTAAGCTCTCCTAAATCCCAAAAAGACGCCAGCTTCTTTTTGGGATCCGGGATTTAGGGTATGTTGGGATTTAGGCTACTCAAGCTAAATCCGGGATTTAGGGTATGTTGGGATCCAGCTTCTGCTGATAAGCAGCTTATCCTGATAATCTGTTGATGAGCAGCTGATCCGGATAAGTTGTCTGGCTGTTTGGTTGGCGCTTATGAAAAACAGTTGATTGTGAAAAATTGATCATTCTGCCCCTGTTCTGAATAAGCAGTTTAGTTGTTTGCTTAGTGTGTTTTGTAAACCGCTTATTTGAAAAAAAATTTTATTAAATGAATAATCTGTGCAGCAGAATCTGTTCTTTTTTCAAAAAAATTAAAGATCACTATTAGACAAGAAAATACCAAAAAGTTGATTTATATTCATATAACTAAAACATATCTGATCACATCAAACGAATATGTTACACATACAAAAGTCAAAGGCGCCTGCACATACTACTACAAAGTATAATAAGAGCCCATAAAAAAGAAAAAATAACATGTTAAAATGATAAGTAGAAATATAATAATATTAACTTTATAATGTAGCAGCATATCACGGCTCATGCCACCTGCATCTGACACTCCAGAACCCTGAACAAACATGTCCGACTGCGATATTGTAGAAACGGAATAACTCGAACCACATGTGGCGTTCTCCTGTTGTGACACTATTGAACTCATAGCAGTTGTGTCCAATTAGGAGCACGTAGAAATAGTTCCACTGTCGGCCCACCTGAAGAATTTGCAGTCGTCCGGTCCTTGTCCCCACCGCGGGCACCTGTAGAATTGTCGTCCGTAACTATGTGTCTGTCGTGATGTGAAAAGTAATGACGGTAGCCCACATCGACACATCATTTGCCCTGACTTCCCTGAATATCTCGAGCTCATTGTCCTGCAATTATTCTAAAAGGCGTTGATCAGTCAAAAACTAGAGGGAATAAAAAAAAACTCAACATACCAAATTGTGAAAACAATTGTTGCAACAGAGTTCTTTGGCCATCTGCATCTAACACCACTCTCATTAACTTCATGAAAGTAACAGAATATCACTTTAAGTTCATATAACAATCTGAAACATTAATATTTACAAAAATATTAATATTGCATTGGAGCATCGAAACATTAATATAAGGTGATTACATAGCAATCTGAAACATTAATATTTACAAAACTAGTACTTTTTCTCAATCATTTCTCACAATCTCACTAAAATATCAAAGTACAAGATAAAACCCATACTTTTCAATTTAAATATATAACATGAAAAACAATCAAATTTCCATTTCTTACTCAAACAGTACACATAGATTTTATTTCAGATAACTTGAAATCGCAATCTATGGTATGATGCATCTTATGACTGCTCAACCCAGTAGATAGCAGCCCAAAAGTACATCAAAAAGGTAGAAAATAAATGACATCGATTTTGTTTCATAAAGAAGTCCCATATTTTTTACTCTTGACATCGACAAAGACAACAGTTGCGCACGCCTTATGGTATGGTGCTTCATATGACTGCTCAACCCAGCAGATAGCAGCCTAAAGAACATAAAAAAGTTAGAAAATAAATGGCATTAATTTTGTTTCATCAAGAAGTCCCATCTTTTTTATCCTTAACATCGACAAAGACAGCAGTTGCGCCTGCCTTCCAAGCTGCTTAGGGCCAATGCGATAAAATATCAAAGAAGCATTAAAATCTGAAAACTGCCAGCAAAAGAAATCCAACACTCCAATTGTGTGGGGGAAGATCCCATTTCGTAATGAATTGCTATGACACAAGTAAAGGTTGTTGCAGTTACAAGTAGGATTTAATAAGGAAAATTTTGACATTATATGCCCCAAAATTCACAAGTAGGAATTAACGCTACAAGACATTGCTATTGACACTAAAATGTGATTTGAAAATTTTGAATGGAATAAATGTAAAAAATAATGTTTAGATGTTATTTACTTGGGCTATTATCTGCCATAATAATTTTTGAATCGATGCTTTGCTTAAGTTCAATCATGTTGAGTCCCATTAGTTCAATCATGCTGAGTCTACTTTAATAGTCATTAGACAGCACCTCATCTTTTTACAGGCTTTGCTTAAGTAAGCCTTCATTTGCAGTCAAACAGATGCCCAATATAAATCTGGGTAGGCCAAGTCCATAGTAACTCATTTGCTTATAGAAAAAATGCGTCTTTTGTTTATAAAAAAAATAGAAGGACACTAAAATCAACATAAATTTCACTGCAATTTAATCACAAGCAAATTCAGATACATAAGCTGGAAAATAACAGTTTCGCACAAGCAAATGACCAACCACAATATGACAATCAAACAAGCTGAACAAATTCATACAGTTGGAAGTACTGTATTACATAAGATACAGTTGACTCTAACTAGCTCAAATGAAGAAAATTTGCTAAATAAGGCTGTCGGCACTATTTTTGGTGTGGGGTTTGC